CTGATTTTCAGTAAGTACGTAAACCTGTCTTTTTCGAGCAGAAGGCAACGCTGGGCTGCCACAGCAGGGCACAGCCGTCTCCGGAGAGGAGCTGCAAACTCTGGGGTTGAAATCCTGTCCCTAAGGAGTCAACAGGAGCTCTGCCATCAACGTCAATGGGACCGGAATTTTGCCCAGGGTCTCTGACATTTTGCCTGCCACGATCACTGTCTCCACACCCCCTTGTAAGTGTTACGAGGGCGTGGAGACAGACCCAGAGCTTCCAGACCCAGACGTCTACCCTCCCTCAGACAAACCTGCCATGGTTTGCCAAAGGAGGGGCCCTGGTCTGACAGACCAGAGAAGCTGCTGAGGCTTATCAAAAAACACAGGATGGCCGGGGATAAGGTGACATGAAGGATTATGAATGAAAACAGGAGGTTCACAGGTGGGCACGGGGCTGGGGATTGGGCAGCAAAGCCAAGAGTTTGGCAAGGAGCCTCACTGCCCAGCATGCTCTCCGCCCCCATCGCAACCTGTACATTGTCTTCCTCCCTCAGCCAGGCTCCCCCTAGTTAAATGTTCCCTTTTGCAGTTACAGGCTGAGACATGGAGGGAGAGAACCTACTTGAATCCATCCAGTGTCAGCAGTCACATGACTTCTCTCCCAACATGCACGTGCGCCATCCTCTAACACCCAGACACCCCCACACCGGACTGACTCATCTGACCCAGTTATACATCTTCTCATCCTCTCCCTCTCCCCCCACCCCCGAATATTCACCGTCACCTAGCCACTACATACATCACTTCTCTCCTCTGCAGATTCCTTTCCCCATGCACCAAGGAATATGGGGGAGTGAGGGAAAGGAAGACCCACTCCCCACAGACCAAAGCAGGGAGGACTGAGAACTGAAGGTTTTCTTGAAGACAGGGGCTGTTTCTCTTCCTCCTGCTCCTCATTCTGGGAGGCTTGGAGGAGGGCTGTTCATTTCCCCTTCCTCTGCCTCCCCAATGGATGGGTGTGTGTGTGGGGGGGGGGGGACTACACAAGAGGGACATGGATGCTATTGGCTCTACAGGTCCTTGTGCCATCCGCTACACAAGCAGACCCAAGTGCCTCCCTTGAACCCCAAGTCACGGCAGGGAAGACATTGAATGTTCAATCTCCTCCACTGCCATTTGCTTGACACTGCCAGCACTGCGTTTCCGGGGAGCCAGGGGGCGGGGGAATTGCTCTCTTTGGTGGCTGTCTCCTAAAACCAGGTCCCATGCAGTATTTTCAGTTGTCTTCCCCACACACACACACAGCGCTCCCAATTAAGGCCCTAATTATGAGCATCTGACAAAAGGAGATGACATTCAGCTATTTGTTAAATGATTGCTATAAAACGTATTCTGTCAATATACAGCCAAGTTCTCTTTTTCTGATTCCTGGCCCTTTAAAATTCCGACTGTACTGCAGGCTGTAGTCCACCGAATAACACTGAGTTCCTGTAAAACAACAACAAACAAACTACCTCCCTTTCCTGGAGGACAAGAGGAATTTTTAAGGGGCAGGCTGTATCCCTACAAAAGCTGGCCTACTGGATTTAAAGTATTTTTTAAAAATAAAAAAAAGTTATTTGTGGCCATCTTCAGAGTGGGAGGGGATTGTTTTGTTTTTTATTATTAAAAGGGATGGAAAACCTCAAAGTATTTAGATTTCAGGTTTGGTAAGCACACATTTGCTATCCAAAACTTGTATGAACAAAGCAAATCCCTGGAGGCTATAAATTAGGCTGAAAGTGGCCTGAGATTTTCAGATCTTCCCATTCCAACTCCTTCTATATCATAAGAACATCTTCTCTGATGGTATTTCAGTCCTTTAGGTTCCTGTCTTGGCTGGAAGTCACACTTGGCCAAACACTTGAGACCATCAAAAAAGTTTGATTCAAGTTGGCTTCTAAAAAGCAGGTAAGTGTTCTGTTCAATCCCCGTTTACCCATTCCAGATTTTAACCGTACATTTCAGCACGTTGAAGCAAGGTTACTTGTATATACTGCCCATTTCTAACTTCCAGATAGCACTGGTTGTCAATGGGGATAGCACTCTGGACCTGCAGCACCAAAGCACAAGCTCCTTGCACAGACTTGAGCAGAGGAAGCAACTCCTTCAGTTGTGAGTAACGAGCACACGCCTATCCTTTTTGAGGATGGCCATTAGAGGGAGACATGATCACACACAAGAAAAGATTCAAAACTGCTTAAGGGATTTATAAGTACAAGTCCCAGGGAAAGTCAATTGAACTTGAGCCCCTAAACCCTTAGACACTACTGAAAATCTTCCCTTCACCAGGGTATTAACAAATCAATTTCCACTCCCTAGGTCACATTAAAGACAGGTTTGGGTTTTTTGTTGTTGTTTTTTTAAGTCAAACCCCACAGACTGTTCAACCCCAACCAGTTCACAATGGGGCATTCACTTTCAGCCAGAGGTCTTTTGCAAATGAGTGAAGAAAACACAATGAAAACACAATGAAAAAGACTTTTGTCTGGCTGAAGTATGCCTGCTAGAAATTAAATATGCCTTGAATAGTCTGTTCATAGATATCGGCTAATAAAAGTAAGGACTTGACTTTATCTTGCTGATGTTGATACAACTTAAGGAGTAAAAATGGACGCATCCAGGAAATGATGGGAATAGGAGACACACTGTAAAAACTATACAATTATGACACACTTGCAACATTCTTAATATTATTTCATGCTCAAGGAACACAAGACAGTTTTGCATTTGAAACAGCGAAGCTGGTGTATGGTGAGAGCATAAGTATATAAAGAAGAGGACTGAATTTTTATTTTTTTTGCCATAGCCTTGATAGAACAATGGTTGTGATTTCAAAAGGTCCACATGCATTCACATTAAAAAGCATAAAGGCAGACAAATTAGATGAGTATAAAGGGTAAATTCTGGTATTTAAGACAATCTAATTTAAACTAAGTTTAAAAAAATCAGAAGCCATCTGAATGTTTATGACACCAGTCTTGTTTATTTGTAAGAAAAAGGTGAGGCACCAATATTCTTATTTTTTAATCTTTTTTTTATATAAAGAAGTCTGCAATGGCACCTGTACTTGTGACATTCACTATCTCAGTTAACTGCACATCCTAGTTGCCATATGTAGAGATTTCTCTCACTGAGAAAATGAATTACAATTTTGACACAGCAAATATTGAGATGTCAAGCGACATCCACCATTTTCATCTTTAAAAAGTGAGAACCTTATCCCGGTTTTTAGAGTTTGTTGGCATTTGCTGTTCAATTAGAACAGTCATGGGTGGGATTTTCAAAAATGGAATTTTCAAAGCCACTCTGTTTGGTTGCCCAGATGCCATTAATTTTAATGGGAAATGGACATGTAAATCCTGTAGGTAACTTTGCAAATCTCACCTAAAGGCTTTAAGTATTTCTTAAGTGTGAGGCTTTGGTTAGCCTCAGAGATCCATCAACAGTGAGAAATGCATGTTTTTGAGAGCCTTCAATATAATTTAAAAAAGAAAGTCAGTCACCAGAGATACAATATTTTAAACAATCCTCTGATACTGGTCTATGGTGAAAAAGTCATTATTGGACCCTGTTATTTTTACGTCAACCACGGGAATACAATATGACACAAGGAAAGCACAACACTGAAAGGATCCTAACAAATGTTGCCACCACAGTGGAATGCCAGGGAATAGTTGTGAAACATAAAGGTGCACATGTAAACTTGGAAGCAATGAAAGGGCACTGATAAATCTCAGCGGCATGTAATAGAACGTCTGCTAGCTGGAATTTTAACTCGCAACAGAAGAGACAATTTGGAAGCTTGAATGTAGGCTTCTAACCCTAACTACTTCTTCCATTTGTTACTTAATGTAATTGCACGTGTAATGCAGTCTGTGAGGGAGGTATAACAAATGCAGTAGTCTTGCTCTCATTTTTCTGAAACTGTAGCAAGACAACACACTACAAAATGCAGCACATGCACTGACCATAAAGACAGTTGTTTTGGTTGCCTGAAAGCTGACTACAACCATGTCCTCTGGATGCAAGTTACTGGCTTTTACATTTTCCTAAAAGCATTTCACTGGGTCTATTGAACAATGTGGGGATTGCAGAAAGGCCCTGATTATAGCAATGATGTAATTAAAAGCCATGAATGGAAAAAACAAGTATTAGAGTCCTTTCTCCGGCTATAAAGACTAATTAAAACGTACTTTTAAAAATAGTTTTTTTAAAAAGGTCAAAAACAAAAACAAAAAACACTACCTCCCCCCGCTCCCCCGTTTCAATAACTTCCTGGCTCAATACCCAGGAAGGAAAAACGGTGCACCATAGCATGTCTGTGAGCTGCATATTCTGCCCAGGAGTAACACGATACAGAAATTCTCTCATTTGGTCAGACGCTGAATATGGCCCAATTTGGTAGTAACAAAAGTTACTCCTGGTTGGAATTGGTGGTCTCCATCCATTTCCGAGTGGAGAACTGTGAACGTTATAAAGCTGCATGGCAGTTTTGTTAGCAGTTTCAGTAAAGGCTAAAGATCAACTCTGGTAGGCACTGAGACTGAAGTGAGCACTCAACCATAAAGATGTCCCTTCAGAACAGTTTGCTCCACAACGAGCAGCAGTAACTCCACTGCAACTGCTCATCCTGTACTTGTTCTGTGAAAAGAGAGAGTTTTGTTTTCCAGTTATGTCAGTCTAGTACCTTTCCGCAAGTTTTGAATTTGATCGAGACAGGATATCTCAATATACCAGACAACTGTCAACTTTTCGCAGTATGAAAGCTATACCTGAAGGAGGGGTCTGATTGTTTTCTTTTGGGCAGCTCACCAACAGCATTCAGAAACAATAGGGCTCTTATCTAGTGCTCTGCATTTTCAAAATACTTTGCAAACACATTAAACAAACTGAGACGCGCAATACTATGGTAAGGTATAGAACCGTGATCATATTTTGCAAATGGTTTAGATAGTATGTTGAAAAGGTCTTACCCAGTAACTGCTCTTTTGACCAAGACAGCATTACAGTCCTCTCTATTTATGGCTGAGTGAAATTCATCCGCAAAGATGATGTTCTTCTGAAGTATTTTCCAATCTAATTGGCATTGAAATGAAAAGACCTTATCAGGACAGCGAGAGCTAGGTGAAATCCCATGTCCAAAAGCTAAAGTGAAATCAAAATTCAGTAACTTTTGTATTAAGTAATTCTAGTACAGCATTTGTGTGGTATTAAAACTTGGGTTTGGGTTGTTGGTTGTTTTTTTTTTGCGGGGGGGGGGGGGGGAAGACATTACAACATCAACTGGCAGTATTTCTGGCAATGAATTAAGCGGCCCACATTAACCATAGCTTGCAGCATATGTAGGCAGCCTACTTCCCTATTTTAAATGCATAACGATTATAGTTGTGTTTGAACACATCTGGATGTGAGTTAGTCCTGATAGGTGCCTCTATACCCAATACAGGAACTTCCTATGATGGCACATTAGCAGAGCATTCCAAGCACAGGCATGTTGCACAATGTTTCTCCAAGCATGAGCTGTGGCTTCAAACAATCAAGGCTTTTGGGGGGGGGGAGGGAGA